ATTTTTTGGGCGGCAATTGCAAAACCCCTCACTTCGACATGCATTTTGGTAAGACAGCGAAAAGGGCATTTTGAGAATTCGCCCTGAATATAGGTATTGGTCAACGTGTTATAGCCATGCTGGCACCCCGAACTGTTGCTTGAAACCCCATTTAAAACGTTTAAGGCGCGCAAGCAGCGATCGATCTTATAGGTTCTCTTGATGGATTATTAAAATATATAAGCATTATCAGATTGGCTTGGGCTCTTTTGCGCAGACTGTACTAATTTCCTGGCACCTGGCATCGAACCAGGACCTTAATATTCGATTCTGGGATTATATTCCGCAGTGCACCTTTGCCAATGATTCCTAACGAGAGGACCCGGGTTCTACCCGGGTTGAGTGAAAAGCGATGTACAAGTCAGTCTAGTTGAATAGTATCTAGGACGTTATACCTAAGTTTGGGCAGCCTTTTGTCACTGAGCGTTCTGAGCCCGCGCTTGTGCACCTTTCTAATTTGTCATTTCTGCAAAAATTGTTCGAAACTAGAAATATCAGCAATTTAAGTCTTCTGTTACTTGCTTTTATTGGTTCTCCGACCGTCACTGTCCGACCTTAACATATGAATTATCATGAGTCAAGATGATGTGTTCGAAGACTACAGGAGTACGGCGTATCTGCATCTCATGCAGGGGGCTAAAGGTTACATAGCTCAATCCGTACAGTACTTTATACGTATCGACTGTATTTGGGACCCTAGCGGTACCAAATAGGACCAAGAGCCTGTAACAGCATGCTCTACAATACCGATACCATTAAACTCATAGGACATCTGTTTTTTTTGTTAGTCATGGTATCATATTACTGCTATATCGTGTTTCATTTCCCGATGGCTTGTGTAGGGCTGAAATAGCCTAGCGGGTCCGGGACTGTTGCAGCAGATACTGTCATCCACATTATCTGTTTTTGTTCTTTAAGATAGATAGAGATTGCCGACGTAGTAGAATTGGCTGAGATGACATTTGACATGCGCAATAGCTGCGACTACGTGAGAGCATTACGTAAGGATTCCTGTCTGTAATAGATAGCTACATAGACTTGGTCCATCTTCTCTTTATTACCACCCTTTATCATGAGTTATGCCTAGCACTGTGGAAGAATCGCGCTACCTATGTAGACAGGGAATCATACAGGGGGGGTTAGCAGGAGCCTGAAGATGCCACGAACCTGTACCTAACTTACAGCTTACAGAGTCGTCCACCTAATCTTCTAAGCATACAAATGACACTGTCAATTGGTTATTTGTGGGAAAGGGAGATGGTACTACGCCCTTATTGGATTTTTATATGTGGAAGCTCATGTCTAACACCCTGATGTAGAAACACCCAACATGCAAAGACACTACTACAGAGGAAAAGACAAAAGATTGTTGTCTATAACCATACTTTAGGTATTCATTTGCCGCAATAGTAATGTCGACCGGCTCACCGCGTGTATTATGACCTTAAAATGTGCACTTTGCAGTGCCTTGCATCTCAGCCCTAGTGTCTTGGCCATGTAGTTTCCAAAACGGGTATATATCTACACGGATGCCGGGATGACTTTGGCCAATAGACTTAAGGTCTTCGACAATGGTTTCAACGACAATATCCCGAGCCCCTCCGTTGTCATCGGCAATACGGCATGACTTGCCAATATTCAATGGCACCTCTTGGTCTCGCAGCCTTCACACAGCCTCTCCTTGATGCCTACAATGCCTTGGGAATAGGCAATGGAGAATGGGTAAAGGTCCCCGCCTAATTGAGCATTATGACCACTTGGTTTATACCGTATATTCCCGACATCACGTCAGAACCAGCTGAATACAACATGGGACCTCTTCATACGGCGTATTCCTTGGTAACGGGCGAAGAAATACAAGACTCGAGATTCGTACATGGGGAAAAGAAACGAGTGCGTATATATGGAAGTATATCCTCTCTGGATGTTTCCCTTTACCTCTGTCGGCAACATTGGTCTCGCTTTCAAGTCGTTTGCTTTCTTTACATCTCGAGCCTTTCTCTTCTCTATTCTTGTTCCAGAGCATAGCTCCAAAGAGCCTTGAAGTTGCAGTTATCAGTTCTTGGTGTACCTTGGGAAGCGGACACTATGTCAACGCTTTCTCTTCCTACTCCTTTCCAAGCCGCTACTTTCCTCCTAGTAGCTATTACGGCTACCGTCCATGGAAGAAACACACACCAAGCACGGGCTGGAACACATGGATATCCAGCAAATAGTATCCAATGGAAGCCGTGTCCAGCTGATCTCCGCGCCGTAGCGGCTCTGGACGTTGAATGCGGTACTCTTGCTGTGCCCCTCGATTACACCGCTACTAACAGCACTAACACACTCGATCTATCACTTGTGAGGGTTCCTGCCGTCAAGAAGCCGGCTAATCATAGCATCCTCTTCAATTTTGGAGGACCAGGACTCGAGGTCCGCTATACGCTCGCGCAACTGGCCGACATGTTGCAGGCGTAAGTTCCTACTTTTCATCATAAATCTGAAACACAGCATAGCTTTTTTCAATTCTGTCTGTTTTACTTTCATCCTCCTTCAAGGAGAAAGTGAAATGAGACGGTAGTAGACGATACTAAAATGTACATGAGAGACATAGCTGACCCGGTTTCTATTCCATTATATAGCATCACTGGAGGCGAGCACGACCTCATCGGCTGGGACCCGCGCGGAACGGCCGAAACACTTACCTTCTCGTGCTTCGCTAACGTATCCGCTCGTTCTACCTCACTTTCGCAACTCACTCTAGGTAACGCTTCAGACGTCGCGCGTGGTGTGATATGGGCGGCTGGAAAGAACTACGCCGATGCCTGTGCGGAGTATCCGGAAGCTCAGGAGAGGGGCCCTCTCATAGACAGCTCTTTCACAGCCCGTGATGCTATGCAGATCGTCGATGCAGTGGAGGAGGATGGGCTACTGAGATACTGGGGTGAGTTCCTCTCTTCTCCTGACAAATAAAACAGTGCTAGATAACTGACATATTGGAAAATCCTGTAGGTCTATCGTATGGTACCGCACTAGGATCCGATATAGCAGCTTTGTTCCCGGAACGAGTTGAAAAAGTCCTACTTGGTCAGTGTCATCAAGTCCTCTGATCCTTCTGAGTAATCGTTACCTGTTTAGGACGTACCTCCTCATGTAACCCCTGCAGGCCCTCGGAACGTTTTGGCGCTTTGATGAATTGAAGTTACTAATCCTTCATTTCAGATGGTGTGTTGAACCCAACCCAGTGGTTCTATGAGATGTGAGTCGACTCTTAGAGACGCTGGCCGACTGCATGGGCAGACTGTGGTCAACGACATGTGGCTAATGTGATTCTTAGCGCCGACTCCGAAGTATCAGCATCATCTGATATCACCTTCTCCGAGTACTTTCGCCAGTGCGTCTCAACGCCCGATGTTTGTACCCTGGCGCGCAGCCATCCCAATGCCACGGCAGAACAGCTCGAGTCAGCAGCGTACGCCCTCATTGAGGAGGTCAAATACCGCCCCATCGCCTATAATGGCTATGTCATTGGCTACTCGGAGTTGAAGACGGCAATCCGGTTCGCGCTATATAGCCCTTATACGTGGCTGGCTCTTGATAGTATCTTGGATGCCTTTCTTGCGCAGCCACGCAACGAGACGCTTGCAGGAGCCGCCCTTGCCAAGTTCCTCTTAGTCGGTGAGCTTACTGCGTCAGTGCCCGTTGACGACGCGGCCATTGGGATCGCATGCGTTGACAAGGCGCCCCGCTCGAACTCGTTCGATGTAGTCTCCGCCGCTTTGGACCAAGGGGAATCAGTCAGCCGCCTACTAGGTGATATCACAGCTTCATTGGTAGCTACTTGCGCGCAGTGGAAGTTAGAGCCGCGATCGCGATACATTGGCGGATTTAAGAGGGTCATGCCCCGGAAGCCTTTGCTGGTGATTGGTAACACCTACGATTCGGCCACATCGTTCCAGTCCGCGAAGAACCTCAGTGAAACGATCAAAGGCAGTGTATTGCTCGAGCAGGGTGGTTTCGGTGTACGTCAATCTCATTGAACCCATCTTCTTATCCATATTTGTCTTCTGCCGAACCAAAGCCACTAACGAGTCAACTTGCATCAAAACAGCACTCTAGTATCCAACAACCTTCCCTCTGCACGGCGAGAGCAATTCAGAGTTTCTTCCGTAACGGCAGTCTGCCGAAGCCTAACACCGTATGCGCGCCTGTCGATCCACCCTTCCAATTTGCTGTGTCTGGCCCAACCTGGCAAGATCGTAAGTAATTATCCGAGTCATTTCCCAGAGTAAAAGCTTCTGTTCGGGCTAGAATCATGTCTCAAGAGCTTTGTATGCTCCCGAGACCATCACAGATCTCAATAAAGAAGGCAATTACTGACCCCGGTTGTTGCAGTGTTCCCTCAACTTGGCTTCGAGCCACCTAGCAGCAATGGCACTGCGACCAGCCAAGCGAAACGGCGTAATTTAACTCAAGACGTCATTAGAGAGATTGGCCGACGTCAAATAGGCGCGTTCTGGTAGATGAAAGTAATAATAGGGGTTGTTTTCTAACAGCAGCAACAACTACCGCGTAATGCGACAAGGACTTTAGTTGGTGGTTCTCTACATTTAAATATATAAGCACCTAGGCAGTATATGCAGAACTATTTCGTGACGGTATTATACTGGCAGCCTTTTCAAGTTGCACTACTTCATGCAGAGAGAGTGACAGAGCAGCTCAATTGGTGTCCTGCTTTATTAAGGTTCATGCATACTAACTAGTAATACCTGTGCTGTGGCTAATTTAACCCAACCAACGCGTGCACGATTCTATCACCACGAGCAATTGTTACGTCTTATTGTCTACTGTATGTATCAATCGCACAGCCAAAGTAAGTAAACCACCTATTGGCCTCGAAAACATACAACACGCAATTCTCTCTTCCCTCCCTTGAGACTACTTAGGAACACAGTTTTCCATACCAACTGGCACTCACCGCCCTGGTAGCTCAATTGGTTAGAGCGTCGGACTTTTACGGATTCATGCTGTAATCGAGTCATCCGAAGGCTGCGGGTTCGACCCCCGCCTGGGGCGTACAATGGTGAAGATTCATTTACAAAAGCTAGCTAGCTCAGTGGAAGAGCGCCGGGCTCATAACCCGGAGGTCGATTGATCGAAACAATCGCTAGCTAATCATCATTTCTTTTGCCTTTCTTTATAGGGCAATATATCTTTCTTTTTCTTGTCTTTATTTAGTAAATATTGTTATTTCTTGGGCTGGTGAATTTCCCAGGGCGGACGGACACCTTTTTGCGTATTGAGAGGTTTTATAGACTAGCCTTTACGTAGTATCTGCCTCCTAGCCTTAAACAACACCAGCTAAACAAACACAACATGAATGAATAAAGTAATGCCTTTTTCGTTCAAGGCCCAATCATGTAGGGTGATGAATATTGGACTTACGACCGACCCATAGGTAGAGTACGTAAGGCCTCGCTCATTATAATGCCCCCTTGGCTTCCATGACACCAAATAGTTGAATAACCACACAGCCTGGCTCTCATGGATACCACGCCTACTTACATTACTTACTGGACATATTATATCAGTTTTTTTTTTTGCCAACACGGATGGCCATGGATTGCCATACTATGTATCTAGGCAAACCGAGTCCAACATTTCCGCGCCACTAGTTTGTACCATTGGTTTCGAGATGCCAAGCGGGCCAATCCGACGGGTTGTCAACGAGCCTGTCGACAAGCACGATCCTCCCACCGGCTCGTATCGCCGGCCTGAATATCTTGATCCAGTTCGGCTCGCCGTCTATTTCGTCCCATTGTTCGATATGTCTCCCCGTTACACCTTCGTACTCCGTCCGGAAGCTGTAACTTTGTAGTCCTGCGAGCATCAACATTTTCAGCTTTAGGTTGCGGCCCATTTCTTGTGCCCTATCCATGATTTGGAACTTACTCAGGCATCTTCGCTCTGTGTTTAGGTCGTGACTATAGATTCGAACATCTAGGAAGACACTCTCAAGGTTCGGCATCTGGGACCAAGATAGCCACAGGTGAGCTGCACGATCAAGGTCCAATGCGTTGTTAAGGGCCTCAACGTTGAACTGGTCGCCAACCCTTCCTGACATTTTTAAGCTTTCGGCGTTCGTTTGCATCAATTCCAGCGGAGAATGGACGGCGATGTGCCGAAGATATTGGTAAATCGGGACCGAATGCGGGAGCGCTCTGCTCTTGACAGCATCAGTTGGCGCATCGTCAAATGGTAGAATAGCCTTTGCCTTGCGACTGCGAAGGGGGAGAACATCTCTCCAATTGCTTACCAGTACTTCCTCAACTATCTCGCCGGGAAGGTCACTAGTACCGAGAGTGAAAACGTGAGTATGGCTGCGGTAGAATTCTTTTGTATACTCTGACGAGAACCCGACGTTAACCGTAACGGCGTTGTGATCGAAGTCTGCTATGGAGGTTAGTATGTGGTCCTTCTCGCCATGTTCAAAGTTACATGAAAGAGTACCAAATTCGAAGCCTGTGCCCCGTACATAAGTCACGATTCGGTTGATTTTATGCTTAGCTAGCGACTTATTAAGCTCGGCGTTCTCTCTATTGCAGATCCTCCAGTCAGGCACAATGAGATCGAGAGCACACCTAGGTTCAGCTACCAACATCTGTGAAACAATCATTGCTATGATTTCCAGTGGAAGATGAGACGCGCTTCCAATTTTTCTTCTTTTCCGATCATTCGCACTGTTCGCTTTAGTGAAGGGTCGTTTCTTCTCCCGAAGCTCCGCTGTGGCGACGTCGCTGGCGCAATTGATGTCACTGTGAGGATAGATATTAGTCGCACTTGTGAGACTGTTATTTGAGGGTAAAAGGGCCTTATTTACCTTCGATAATGCTCTCTGTAGGTGTTCTACGAAGAGTGCATTGGACTCTCCCGCAGTTTGAATCTGCTCGCTTTGCGCGAGCACGTGAAGACTGTGCACTGCTTCTCGAATCTCGTCTTCAGTCTTACCGGAACCTTGGAAGGAGCGTAGTATAAATGACCATTCCTCCGATAGCTGTTGTTCATGGTCGATTGCCTGGCTCAAAGGTGGAACTTCTGGGCTGCGTAATAGGATGTCTTCCTCCCACCTCCATCTATATGGGCTACAGATGACCTGACAGGTTGGCCATCCTAACGCGAAGTGGAACGCGTCAATGAATTTAAGTTGTGCCTGTGGGTGAAAGCGAGAACGGCATATCGTGTTGCCAAGTGAGCTACAGGATGGACCTTGTTTTCCTAGTCTTAAAACCGGCCCATCATCTAATACCACGCGACCATCTAATAGTACGTGGGGTTCGTCGGAATGCTCCATGCCGAATGGAAAGACAGAGCAATGAACCTAGACTAATGTGACGGATTAGCGCTCGCGCAAAGAACAGCCCTCACACCTACTATGCAGTGAAAAGTGCGCGCTGTTGAGACTAAAGATCTATTAATGAGGTCTTTGTCCCTCTTGTATGACGGTATGCCATTGGGACGGAGAAAGCCTTCTACATGAGTGTGAAAGAGCCTTGTTCCCTTAGGTTACTCAAGGAGTAGGATCTGCAGCCGCTTTGGCATCGCCCTGTCTTTAATTGAAACAATTCTTTAGAATAACGATGAAGTAACACAAATCCTTGTTGGGCTTTTGCTATTCTTTCGCATTGTTCTACGTACATGCGCTAGAAGCTGTCTCATGAAGCGTGTTCCAAGGTTACCACCTTTGAAGAACTTTGTAGAAGATGTCTCTCACGTAGATAGGAGGTATCTATATGTGTGGAACAATTAACCGGAATATGCTTGTAAGCATATATAAGGAAATTTGAGGCTGTAAACTAGCCTAAAGCGGGAATGATCTGGGTCAGCTGAGAGTCATTTCCGGGTTCCCGTGGTGCTATTGATATCAGCTGGATTAATAAATGCCGGTATCGTAAATAAACGTCATGTCATGGTCTTGACATCCCCCAAACTTCCATTTACAATCATCATCTGTGTACACCAGAGTACCATAGGACATTATGGTTGGATTTAAGCGGCTATCGCTGGTAGCCACCATAGCAACCTTCCATCAAGTCGTATTTGCACAGCTTCAGAAGCCTTTGCTATCCCAGTCAGAGGACTTGTTGGAGGCCGATAAGACGCGAGGTAGACCTCTGGTGGACACGGAGCTGCTACAAGCTAGCATTAGCATCGATAGTCTCCTCGAGCGCGCGAAAGCCCTGTATGGTCTAGCGAAGTCATCAGAAGATGAGTTTGGACACCCGACGCGGGTTATCGGGAGCGAAGGTAAGTCGTTACCTATGCCCGAACCATCTTAGTACTAGCGAAGAGGGATGTGAATGGTGTGCTCACGATTGATGCTATCACAGGGCATCAACGAACTCTGGACTACATCGCCTCTGAGATAGACCGTCTGGGAGACTACTACAAGTACTCAACGCAGGCCTTCCCAGCGGTCATGGGACAGGTGTACCAATCTCGTCTTGTTTTAGGTCACAGCGTGCCCAGCTCTGCAACTGCTATGTCCTTGACACCTCCCACCACTGGGAAAGAGCCAGTTTACGGCGATCTGGTGCTGGTGAAAAACGAAGGGTGCGAGGCCTCTGACTATCCGGCCGAGGTGAACGGCAACATTGCCCTTGTCATGCGTGGTGCTTGCGCATTCGGAACCAAATCTGAGCTTGCCGGAAAAGCGGGTGCCGTTGCAGCCGTCGTATTTAATACTAACCCAGACGGGCTGAGCGGTACCCTTGGCGCGCCCTCTCCATACCATGTTGCAACATTTGGGCTGTCCGGTAAAGATGCTGAGCCGGTCGTTGAGAAGCTCAAGGAGGGCAAGGTCGTGGATTCGATTGCCTTCATTGATTCCGTCGTCAACACTATCAACACGACCAATATCATCATCCAAACAGTCCATGGTGATCCCGACAATTGCGTAATGATTGGCGCCCATAGCGACAGTGTCGACGAGGGGCCGGGTATCAATGGTACGTACCAAACCCACAGGTGTTTGGCCTCTTAGTTTTTATTATCTCGTACAATCTATAAGTCCAAGGCCTTTTGTCTAGGGCTAGCAGGGCCTCGCCTGAGTAAATCTCAGGAAGCTGAACTTCAATCCCGACTAATATGGTATTGTGTATGCAGATGATGGGTCCGGCAGTCTGACCTTGCTCGAAGTTGCGACTCACCTGACCAACTTTACTGTCAATAACTGTGTTCGTTTCGCTTGGTGGGCTGGCGAGGAAGAAGTGAGTAGAGTTCTTTTCCGTTCAACAGTGAAGATTCTTCTGAAGGGCAGCATGAAATGCTCTAGGAAGATCTTCACTGCCACCCCAGTTGAGATTTGACGTGAATAACTAAATGGGTTACCAAATAGGGTCTCCTCGGTTCTGACTATTATGTCGATACTCTTCCTGAAGATGAAAACAAGAAAATTCGTCTTTTCATGGATTATGATATGATGGGCAGTCCGAACTTTGCTTATCAGGTCTACAATGCGACCAACGCGTTGAACCCGACGGGCTCCGAACAGCTGCGCGACCTATACATAGATTGGTATAAGTCAAAAGGTCTGAACTACACATTCATCCCGTTTGATGGACGAAGCGACTATGACGCGTTTATTCGAAACGGAATTCCCGGAGGCGGTATCGCTACTGGTGCAGAGGGCATTAAGACCAAAGAAGAAGAGTTGATGTTTGGTGGCAAAGCTGGCGATTGGTACGATCCTTGCTATCATCAACTTTGCGATGATGTCGGAAACGTTAACGCCACAGCTTGGCTCATCAACACACAGGTAAGCAACATTGAAACCTTAACAACTAAGCTTTCTCGAGATGATAACACTTATGGCTCTATAGCTTGTTGCGCATTCTGTCGCCACGTTTGCTGCCTCGTTTGAAGGCTTCCCGGAACGAGAAACGACCAAAGCTACTGGATTATACGAGCAAGAGACTCTGTATCATGGCCGCTACCTGGTTAGGTGATATGCTTGGGCCTTGCTGCACGTTGTCCCTAACTTACCCATTCTCGATTAACTTATTGTTCGCGCCGTTCCA